TATTCAAATCATTGCACTCTGATTAGACATCCTCAATAATCGAGTTCTTAGATTTGTGTTTATATGTCATCAACTGCCTCCAGTTTGTTTGTATGGTAAAGTTGTCAGTCTGTACGGTGAGTTGTATTTCGCTATTGGGTTATATGTTATAAATAACCTCCGGTTACATCTAGTTGTCAGTTGGAATAACTAGTTGTGTTTTCTAACATGTTTAATTTTTTGAGGACACACTTTAAGGATATAAGATATAAACGTCATCCGCCTTTGCGGTTATATGACATTTGTCGTCTCCAACTGCTTTGATATGAGCGGGCTGTACTTTCACAATTCGAAGATGTTTGATTCAAACACTAGAACCATTATACATTCCTTGTGCTATCTCAATTCAAAGATGTTTGATTCAAACATTAGAACCATTATACATTCAGTGTGCTATCACAATTCAAAGATGTTTGATTCAAACACTAGAACCATTATACATTCCTTGTGCTATCACAATTCAAAGATGTGTAATTCAAACACTAGAACCATTATACATTCCTTGTGCTATCACAATTCAAAGATGTTTGATTCAAACACTGGAACCATTATACATTCAGTGTGCTATCACAATTCAAAGATGTTTGATTCAAACACTAGAACCATTATACATTCCTTGTGCTATCACAATTCAAAGATGTGTAATTCAAACACTAGAACCATTATACATTCCTTGTGCTATCTCAATTCATAGATGTTTGATTCAAACACTAGAACCAATATACATTCCGTGTGCTATCATAATTCAAAGATGTATGATTCAAACACTAGAACCATTATACATTCCTTGTGCTATCACAATTCAAAGATGTGTAACTCAAACGCTAGAACCATTATACATTCCTTGTGTTATCACAATTCAAAGATGTGTAATTCAAACAGTAGAACCATTATACATTCCTTGTGCAATCACAATTCAAAGATGTATGATTCAAACACTAGAACCATGATCCATTCCTTGTGCTATCACAATTCAAAGATGTATGATTCAAACACTAGAACCATGATACATTCCTTGTGCTATCACAATTCAAAGATGTTTGAATCAATCACTAGCACCGTTATATGTATTCCTTGTTACAGGTGTAAATTCGTTATAACAGAATTTGTAATGCCCTCAGGAACAATGAGATAATGTTATGTTTATGGTCTATTGTTAATAAAACGTTTGGAGACATTTGTTTTGCTATCCGATTAACAAATGCCTATGATAACAAGAACTTTACAATAGTTCCTGCGGTTTCAAAATTAAAATTAAGATTTTTAAAACAATTCATATTTACATTTGTACTGCGGGGAAAACTTCGTAAAGAAGATAAACGGTAAAAGTTTTCAAACGTGAAGTGAAACGCCGTTGTAACGACCGTGTCAGGAATTAGTTAGGCATTGTAGAGTAAGTGAAGACAGAATAGATGTGGCTGCAGCTGATCCAGGGAATACCTAATCGCGTTTGGTATTGATTCTCCAATACAAGTATCCACCAACTAACCCTGGTTTCTGTGGGACCCTTATAACATTGGCGTCCGTCCCACTCCAGACAATGTTTATAATGCCAAAAGTATCGATTACTGCCAGGGATACAGGTTCTCTATACTTTCATGGGATTCAATTAGGACGTACCCAAATAAGGCACTGTTTACAGGTGCTAAGTGTAGCGAGCGACATCATTCTTAATTAGGACGTGTATTATAAAATCAATTCTATACGGCTTTTTGAGGCGATGAGGTTTGATAGTACGTCCACTGTGGTTTATTATCTGTCGTATGGTGATACGAAGACTATTGCTTTTAAACACATCGTCTGCTTTCATTCTTAGATAGTAAGCTAGGTCAAAAGTCCAGTCAGTGACTATTCCCAGCTATATGTATACACTAGCAGCACCTCACCACCATGTTACGCACAGAGTAACGGGTATCGTGGGCACTAGTACACATATTGACGTTATAATCACCACCATGTTACACACACAGTAACAGCTATCGTGGGCACTAGTACACATATTGACGTTATGTTACTCACAGAGTAACTTGTATCGTGGGCACTAGTACACATATTGACGTTATGTTACTCACAGAGTAACGGGTATCGTAGGCACTAGTACACATATTGACGTTATGTTACTCACAGAGTAACTTGTATCGTGGGCACTAGTACACATATTGACGTTATGTTACTCACAGAGTAACTTGTATCGTGGGCACTAGTACACATATTGACGTTACAATCACCACCATGTTACACACAGAGTAACGGCTACCGTGGGCACTAGTACACATATTGACGTTATAATCGCCACCATGTTACACACAGAGTAACGGCTACCGTGGGCACTAGGACACATATTGACGTTATAATCACCACCATGATACACACACAGTAACGGCTATCGTGGGCACTAGTACACATATTGACGTTATGTTACTCACAGAGTAACTTGTATCGTGGGCACTAGTACACATATTGACGTTACAATCACCACCATGTTACACACAGAGTAACGGCTACCGTGGGCACTAGGACACATATTGACGTTATAATCACCACCATGATACACACACAGTAACGGCTATCGTGGGCACTAGTAAACATATTGACGTTATAATCACCACCATGTTACACACACAGTAACGGCTATCGTGGGCACTAGTAAACATATTGACGTTATAATCACCACCATGTTACACTCAGAGTAACGGCTATCGTGGGCACTAGTACCCATATTGACGTTATAATCACCACCATGTTACACTCAGAGTAACGGCTATCGTGGGCACTAGTACCCATATTGACGTTATAATCACCACCATGTTACACACACAGTAACGGCTATCGTGGTCTCTAGTACACATATTGACGTTATAATCACCACCATGTTACACACACAGTAACGGCTATCGTGGGCACTAGTACACATATTGACGTGATGTTACTCACAGAGTAACGGGTATCGTGGGCACTAGTACACATATTGCCGTTATAATCACCACCATGTTACACACAGAGTAATGGCTATCGTGGGCACTAGTACACATATTAACGTTATACTCACCACCATGTTACACACACAGTTACGGCTATCGTGGGCACTAGTACACATATTGACGTTATAATCACCACCATGTTACACACACAGTAACGGCTATCGTGGGCACTAGTACACTTATTGACGTTATAATCACCACCATGTTACTTACAGAGTACCGGGTATCGTGGGCACTAGTACACATATTTTGACGTTATAATCACCACCATGTTACACAAAGAGTAACGGGTATCGTGGGCACTAGTACACATATTGAGGTTATAATCACCACCATGTTACACACAGAGGAATGGCTATCGTGGGCACTAGTACACATATTGACGTTATACTCACCACCATGTTATACACAGAGTAACGGCTATCGTGGGCACTAGTACACATATTGACGTTATAATCCCCACCATGTTACACACAGAGTAACGGGTAGCGTGGGCCCGAGTACACATATTGACGTTATAATCACCACAATGTTACACACAGAGTAACGGGTATCTTGGGCACTAGTACACACATTGACGTTATGTTACATACAGAGTAACGGCTAGCGTGGGCACTAGTACACATAATGACGTTATGTTACACACAGTAACGGGTATCGTGGGAACTAGTACACATATTGACGTTATGTTACATACAGAGTAACGGCTATCGTGGGCACTAGTACACCTATTGACGTTATGTTACACACAGTAAAGGGTATCGTGGGCACTAGTACACATCTTTTGACGTTATAATCACCACCATGTTCCACACAGAGTAACGGGTATCGTGGGCACTATTACACATATTTTGACGTTATAATCACCACCATGTTACTTACAGAGTAACGGCTATCGTGGGCACTACTACACATATTGACGTTATAATCACCAACATGTTACACACAGAGTAACGGGTAGCGTGGGCCCGAGTACACATATTGACGTTATAATCACAACCATGTTACACACAGAGTAACGGGGATCGTGGGCACTAGTACACACATTGACGTTATGTTACATACAGAGTAACGGCTAGCGTGGGCACTAGTACACATATTGACGTTATGTTACACACAGTAACGGGTATCGTGGGCACTAGTACACATATTGACGTTATAATCACCACCATGTTACACACAGAGTAACGGGTATCGTGGGCACTAGTACACACATTGACGTTATATAGCTCGGTTAATAAACCCAATGACATACATGTTCATTAATGAGATAAGGCAACAGCCCAATTTCAAACACATTTCAACGAGTCTCTTTTTATGCGATATTAAGTCGAGCATTTCAGCTTGGTATTATTGCATCCAAAACGAACGGATGTCTTGGATACTATTTTCTGGTAAGTAAATTACACGTATTTATTAGTAACTTTGTTCTTGTATGAGTTGTATCCAAACAGATATAATTTAATAGTTTGTTTCTCTCTGCAGTAGATTACGTATTATTTTGTGTTGATCCCTATGCCCAATCCCATTCTCAAAATCCTATCTTTAGACAAAACCCATTTTAAAACCATTAATAACCAGAGACTGCCATGTTTGTCTTCCCAAGATCAATTACTTTTGTAGGTTTCTCTTGATTGTTTCTCATTTGATTGTTTCATCGAACAACGCGGTTCGCTACATGTAGAACTTAGCAAGGTATATTGTCAACGGCACGATTTTAAAACGTCTGCGCCAATACAGCTACTATTGTTTAGGCCTTTTGAGCGCAAATTTTATTTAGTATTTTCATCTTTGTGCCACAGTAATTAATTAATATAGATCCAATTTCTTCATGGACGCGAAACATCAGACCTGTATTCAACATAGAGATAATCTACGTACGCCCCGATATACTGGGTTTCTCTACATGTCTGTATTGACTCGCATTGGACGGCAGTATAGCCTGAGGCTGATACTAGTGATTATGTATTGGTTACCTACCGGTGACTGGTAGACCGGCCATTCGTTGGAACTGAGCTATACCCTTGCTTACGACTTCTTGCGATCGTAACGATCCGCTATGTTTACTTTCCTTGGAAATGTAGCCATATTTCATCAAATATTCCTGAAACAAAAATAAACAATGCATGTACCGAACGTTTATATATATATGCCAAGAATAAATCATTTCAGACTACGGCAATGCAAAAGCATATATATATCATTTTACAATGAAGCCTGTCTAATCTTCCCCTGTGTATTCTGACATCCTGTCTAATTCGATCCCTGAGTATTCTGACATCCTGTCTAATCCGACATAATGGTGTAATCCCATTGTTCAAAAAGAAAAAGACCTATGTGTTTCATGTTTCCATGTGACATCAACACAAGACAATACAGGAAATAGACAGCAAACGACAAAATAAAATAAATTCGAACTTCCCATGATTAAATAAGTTAGATAATATATAATACGATGAAAACTACAGCAAGTAAATAATTCTTTTCACAAAGACAAAATATTCTCTGATTAGAAAACAATATCGCACGCGAATTCGTTACCCTCATAACTAAGAGATGATGAGAGAACACAGTACATTGAAGTCAAAACTAAGCCATACACTCTAGCGGTAGGCTCTTTGTACGAAACTCATTTGGAATGGTGAGGATTCCATGGCCGGTATCTGGTAAAACTTGTCCTCTTCCTACTCTTATCTTCTTCCTTGCAATTTAATCTACCATCTAGGATTCACGCGTTTACGTCAATGAAGGATTTTGTTTAAGAGATTTAGTTTCAGGTTAAAACGTGTTTAGACCTAACTCTTGTCAAAGTTCACGTGTTAAGACCTAACTCTTGTCAAAGTTCCCGTGTTGAGACCTTACTCTTGTCAAAGTTGATTCTATTACAGTGGTCTTTGGTTTACTCATATTGTAAAAGAAGGTTCAGGTAAATTAACCCCTTCTTCTGCAGTATCAGTTAAACATCTAATTTCGTCAATGAGGCTTAATGGTGGCAGCGTTAGGGTTCTTTGGTAGTTTTGATGGGGTGCGTGCCTTGGTAGGCATGTCTCTATCTCTTTACGGGGGATGCAGTGAATACAATGGATAGCATCGAAGTGTGTCTTTGATCTGTATTGGCAATTCTTTCAAAAGAATCCTAATAACTACAATGCCAAAAATAAGAAGGGTATCGTGCCTGGGATTACGACACGACTACATGGGGTGATAAAATCTTAAGAGGGTACGTGTAGCAGCTTCTGTGATCCCCAGTCAGTACAGATACACGGGGTTCAGGTGCCTCGAGCATTATTGCAATCATAGTATAGGTTGCCTTCATTTATATATTCATATGGAGTTAGTTTTGATTTATTTCGAATTTGTTGGAAAAACTATTTGATGTTATTTGAATGTTTATATATTATCACGTGTTAAGAAAAATGCATTCCATCGTATTCGTCTATGTAGCAAGAGTATGGTTTGATTAAATGTAAATATGTGTCAGTCAGGCAGTCGATCAATTTGTATAATGAGATATACAACTTGTTGACAAAAAAACCCAGCAATGATTCAGAATATGTAGACCCTAGATTCATAGCGTTATATTTGGTGTTGACATACTTGTATTGTAAAGTGCAGTTTCTATCTCATAACAGGCTTTAATTTTACCTGAAATTATGTTTAACCAATCAGATTACATAAAGCTGTCAAAGTATTGCTGAATATTATTGTGCGAAACACACGAGATCAACTGCCATAGGGTACAGGGGGATCTTGGTGTATAAACGTTGCATTCGAGATATTACACTTCGTAATAATGATAAATAGCTGTACATATATTGGTTACTCATTATACATATGATAATAAATCTACAAAGGGTTATTGACAATGCAAAGTTCAATATTAGCAAACATTGTATGAAAATAATGAACATTCAGTTTATATATTTACTTATTTAAATCACTGTTTAAGGATGTGCATACTTATTACTGCAGTCTGTATCTGCAGGTTTGATTCGTTTAGATTTAAATTGACAATTCAACATCGAAAACATTTAGAATGAATATTACGTTTCCTCATACGTGAACATTCGGTTGTTAACAATATCAAAATTTGAGTAAAACGTATTTAGCTGACTATAATAGAAATGGCAGGTAAAACTGATACCAAATATATGTATAATCGTATTATAGTCACAAGATACCTTATTTCATCAAATCTGACGTTATGGTGTAACTTGTGATTTGTAGACACTGATAGATATACAGTAACACCTCAGGCCACCATTAGTCTAACAAGAAGTTTGGTGATGCAACGATAGATACTGAAAAATATATTTAGATAATCCTGAAAGTGACCTTAAAATAATAATACTAATTTGAGGTTCTTTATCACAACCTAGTTCGTAGGTCGTCTCAAAGCGGTTCACACATTATTAAAAGTGGTTATAGGGCCTTTGCAATCAGCCAATATCTTTCTCAACTCCCTGGGGAGCATACAGCCGGTGCTGCCATTTCGGCGCTCACATCTGATATTCTACAATTCTAGCACTGCCCAACCACGTACTCATTTGCAGCTGATTAGACTGGAACAAGCGGAGTTAAGTATCTTGCTCAAAGATACCACACAGTACTAGTGCCGTGCCGTGACTCGAATCCGCAACCGTTCGGTCACGAGACCGGCGTCCTACCAATAGACTACCATGCCTAAATATATTGCCTATAATAATTGAGTGGCATCAGTTGATACACCGCGGAGGGCCGTTATATACTGTCTATAAATCACGTGAAATACGTCTGATATAAGAATAATAATCAAGTTAACAGTACAACAATTGTCTACCTCGTGATCAATCCAATAAGATATGCTGTACATTTAATACAGGGAGTGATGTTATGTGGTACAGATATGTATTTCTTGCAGTTGTTCAAAAATGCCATAAATTCCAATGGGTAGAATGCGTGAACTATGTTATTGATAGTTTTGAATTAAACACATAAAGGTTCTGTCTGTTTACGGTACAGATGTGTTCTACATTGACCTGACACAGGTATGTTGATCGATAGCATGACACCCCGCCAAGGTATAAACACATGTGGAAAAAACACACCCCACCTGATAGGTCTTAAGCCAGGTGTGCAAACTTAAATCAATGTAAGGTATTACTATTTTGGCAGTAGAGGTGTGTATATACCGTGGTGAATATGGTTGGATCAACTAAATCTACAGAGAAAAACAAAAAATCTTAATACGAATACAACATGTAACGATATGGTAGTGTGCAATCAGACCAGAGTCTTATTTATACAGGTAAAACACAATTACAGAGCGCGTGTCAGCAAAGGGTGCAGATAGCGGAGATATCGACATCTTGAATTGGTTAGTGTGTGGATCGTGTCTTAATGCATAACTAAACGTAATTCAGGTTTTAAAAAATTGCTAGTAAACGCTCCGGTCAGACCTTTCGTAAAGATGATTCAAACATTAATAAACTGACCATCATTGAACTGGCAGGTGTGTTTCCTTGTGATAAGTTCATCAACATAAGATTGTATTAGGAGAGATCGACGTTTACTGAAGTGATAATCGAGGGGTATTTAGATCGGAGTTTAACTGAAGTGATAATCGAGGGGTATTTAGATCGGAGTTTAACTGAAGTGATAATCGAGGGGTATTAAGATCGGAGTTTAACTGAAGCGATTAAAGATAGGCAAACTAGTGAGGTTTTAAGAACAGTGGTTAAAGCCAGATATTATATTATATTAAAGAGTGAAAATGAGGGCCATTACTTCGAAATTTTACGGTATAGTGATTAACGCATGTATGATATCGGCGTTTTACTGTGAAGTGACAAAGAAAGGGTAATCCGTCGTGGTATCACTGTACAGTGATAACTAACGGGGTGTTATATTGATGTTTTACTGTACAGTGATAACTAACGAGGTGTTATATTGATGTTTCACTGTACAGTGATAACTAACGGGGTGTTATATTGATGTTTAACTGTACAGTGATAACTACCGGGGTGTTATATTGATGTTTTACTGTACAGTGATAACTAACGGGGTGTTATATTGATGTTTTACTGTACAGTGATAGCTAACGGGGTGTTATATTGAGGTTTTACTGTACAGTGATAACTAACGGGGTGTTATATTGAGGTTTTACTGTACAGTGATAACTAACGGGGTGTTATATTGATGTTTTACTGTACAGTGATAACTAACGGGGTGTTATATTGAGGTTTTACTGTACAGTGATAACTAACGGGGTGTTATATTGATGTTTTACTGTACAGTGATAACTAACGGGGTGTTATATTGATGTTTTACTGTACAGTGATAACTAACGGGGTGTTATATTGATGTTTTACTGTACAGTGATAACTAACGGGGTGTTATATTGATGTTTTACTGTACAGTGATAACTAACGGGGTGTTATATTGATGTTTTACTGTACAGTGATAACTAACGGGGTGTTATATTGATGTTTTACTGTACAGTGATAACTAACGGGGTGTTATATTGATGTTTTACTGTACAGTGATAACTAACGGGGTGTTATATTGATGTTTTACTGTACAGTGATAACTAACGGGGTGTTATATTGATGTTTTACTGTACAGTGATAACTAACGGGGTGTTATATTGATGTTTTACTGTACAGTGATAACTAACGGGGTGTTATATTGATGTTTTACTGTACAGTGATAACTAACGGGGTGTTATATTGATGTTTTACTGTACAGTGATAACTAACGGGGTGTTATATTGATGTTTTACTGTACAGTGATAACTAACGGGGTATTGTATTGAGGTGAAATTGTACAGTGATAACTAACGGGGTGTTATATTGAGGTTTTATTGTACAGTGATAACTAACGGGGTGTTATATTGAGGTGTAATTGTACATTGATAACTAACGGGGTATATTATTGAGGTTTTAGTGTACAGAGATAACTAACGGGGCGTTATATTGAGGGTTTATTGTACAGTGATAACTAACGGGGTGTTATATTGAGGTGTAATTGTACAGTGATAACTAACGGGGTGTTATATTGAGGGTTTACTGTACAGTGATAACTAACGGGGTTTTGTATTGAGGTGTAATTGTACAGTGATAACTA